TAATATCATCCATAAGGAGGAGATTAGATTTGCATCATACCCTTTTATATTATGAGTGGTAATATGAAGATAAATATTGCTTAAATTTTATCATAACTTTGATAAAAACCAAATTTAAAAATAAAATTAATTTAGTCTAAATCTTTTCCAAGTCTTTCATGACACTGTAATTAAACTTAAGTTAGAGAAACTTGAGGAAGTTGAGCTACATGGATCATAAAACCTACCTCTAAGAGATTAACTTCTAATATGTTAACATCATAGAGAATCATCTTTATGTGACACCTCTTTACTCAACCATGGGAGTAAATTGAGGGTTTGAAATTATTGTGTACATTGATGGTATAATTGATAGCTTTTACCATAATATATACTTTGATATCATCCTGCTCTTTGATTCCTATATATATTTTACCTTACAATTCACTCGATCCTTTTAAGGCACCACTTAACCAAAACTTTAGCCCATGTAGCGCCACTAAAATTTAGGGAACTTTAATTCATGGTGGCACCCATTATTCTAGTGTTTAATGCTATATATAAAGTTTTTTTTTCTTTGATTTCATGTGTTATGACCATAACACTATTACTCACCTTCCAGGAAGTACTATAGATGATTTGGATGTACCTTTCGACACTTAGCCACCAAATCAAGATCAAAATCTTCTTCAAGCCACAAGATTGAGCATTATATTTCTAAATTTTCACATAATCTCATCACCCATCTTTACTTGCACATCACCTTCTCATATCATCCAATGATTAATCATTTGTGAGATGAGCCTTCCCATAAATATTTAATCATAAAGTCTTTATGGATTAGAATGAATTAATGAACTTGAGAGAAAGATCTAATGAAACACTCATAGGGTTGCCTTTCTATTTTGAACTCTACCCATTATTTTATATAGCTTTTCTCTTTTCATGTGGTCAATCATTCCATGCCATCAAACATCATTGTTAACTTTTGATTGGATTTTTTTTTTTTAAGATATAGATATGTCTCTTTTAGTGCCTCTTCATTAACCTCTTCGTATGTACTTCTGATTTAGAGTAATATAAGGACCTACATCAAACTCTCAACGACATGTATCCTCACTTAGGATTAATTCACAAACAACAATAAGACTAAGCTTTGCACACCAATATGAATAGTTAATTATTATCATAGTAATAGTCGAGCTTTTACATAATTATAACAATAATCCTAGAGCATTAACTTCATTATCAAATTTAATTTTCATCAAGTTAGTTTAACCAATGATCAAGTTGAACTCATTGTTATGCATTATCACTATAAGACTACAACATATTATCATTGGCATTATCAAAATACATTGCTAAATTATACTTTCATGAAAAATATCACTCGAAATTTGCATAAAATCTAACATGAAGTACCTACTACCTAAATTAGTTCATGGACCTAACAGCTTATCAAATCCCCATTCCGGCATTCCCCCCTTTTCCATTAATTTCCCATCCCCCAATCCCACTCCACCCACCCCACCTCGAAATTTTCATCACACCTTTTTTGATATTATTATGCATTATATTTATGGAAATATATATATATATATATCTTCCACATCATATATTGCATAGCATATATTATCATTTTATTTTCTGCAATTTGTGTTGTAAGCCATCACACGTAGCTATTATCAATCTTCAAAAATCACTAGCTACATCCTTGCTAACACATAATGGAGGCAATCGGGACATGAACACTAGCTATTTTTCCTCATTCATCAATTATAATCTGCCACAAAAAGCTTAATGCCCCATAAACTAACCTCAACAATTTTCTCCAAAATATTTAACACCTCCTCTCAAATTGAGAGGGGCATGATTACCGATGCTTGAGATTAGGGATGTCAAAAAGGGTTTTCAGGTCAAGTTCAGGTCCAACCTAAAAATTACTCATTATCAGTTGACCCAACCCGAACCGAACCTTATTAGGAAAACGGATCAAAAACGCAGACTTGAACCCGACCTAATTCGAATTAGGGTCGAGCAGACACGATCCGCCGACCCATTTAAAAAAAATGCTCATTTAACGCATGCAGCATGTTACTTTGGCCAAATCACCCCTTGATCTGCTAGAGGCTAGCCTGAATCGTGAATAGTGAAGACTAGAATCACGAATGAAATAGGATTACAAATTTGGCGCACTTCAACAGCAAAATCCATAAATCAAAACAGACCCGTGCTTCTTCCATCAAAATCAAATCTAGCTTCGACAGTTCTTCCGCCAAAATCAAACTAGATCAGACCTTACGACGAAGGATAGAATGAAATCGGATTCAGCGCGCTCTTTCGATAAATCCATAAATCAAATGATAGACTGCTCGCTTGTTCGACCAAATATGTAAATCGGTCTGATCTGGTTCAAACTTTGGTTAATTTTTAGTTGGTGTTTTGACCCAAACTCGTCCTATTTTTTTTATACGAGATGAATTTTCAAACCCGAACCTAATTAACCGTTTGTTTAACAGGTCAACCCGAAACACGAATTTTTGGGTCAGGTCCAATCGGGTTTACAGGTCTAGTCAATTTTTGACATCCATACTTGAGATCATGCTTTATATCATTAAGCTTGTGGGAACACCTTCGACCTTTTCTTCTTGAATTGAGAGAGATATTATTGTCCTTCATGGAACCCATAAGGAGACACAAATAGTTACATCTTAACAACTAATTTGGTTAGTTTTTATATTGTAAGTGATTCTTTCTAATTTTCTCCAAAACTCCCTTTTCTAACTCCCAATGTCACCCTTTAAAATTATCATATAACTCCTAGTTCTGTAACTATTCTAAAAAGTGCCTAGGTGCTAGTACAATATCATCTAGGGGCTCCTATAAGGCCATAATTAATATTTATTTTGCATTGTAGCACTATAACAGTATGGATTAGTTCCTAAGTGCTGGTTACTCCTTTAAAAATTTTAGAAATGTTTGCATTATTACTGAATATTAGGGAACCTCAACACTTCATCAAGTAGAACCTTGATATTTAATGTTGAAGTGCCTATACATTGTATGTCAATTCTAAAGTTATATTTATCATCTTTTAAAATTTTATTTTCTATCATCATAGAGTTCCTCTTTGCTACATTTTTACTCCTGTATTTCTTAATATTCACAAAATTATTATAATTTTTATTGTATTACTTGGAAATATATTGGATTAATAAGATATTTTATTGTGTAGAACTCACAAATCTTTTATCAATCCTTATTATTTCTTTGATATTTCACTACTATCATATATAAGAGGCTAAGTTAATAATCTAGAAATTTTAATCCTGTCTTTTCTTGTTATTGCGTCACCAAGTTGTGATAACTCGTAGTTTATTTTTACAGCCAATAAAGTAGAGAAATAATCTTCTTCAACTACTATGCCACCACGGATTCTACAAATTTTTTTCAATGTTTTTCCTTTTTTTTTTTAACTAACAAAAAAGTTAATAATGTATTTATTTATAGATGAAAAATTCATTGTTCTTTTGTAATTATAACAAAAATGTGTACGATATATGTTTTGTTCAAAAGCATCGCCTTGATGTTTTAACTAAAATAATTATCAAAAACAAGCTTAAAACTCTTACAATTACTTCGAGATTAATGAAAAATAATATATGAAAGACAAGGAATGACCTACGGAGAGAGTTTAAGAATTTTGAATGATTATATATAATTATACGAGAGTACAGTACACTTCAGAAGGAAATAACAATTAAAATAATATCATATCAATTTTTAATAAGATTGATATATCATCAAAAATTAATTATGATTGGGCAAGAACCTAGAGGAAAAATCAAATTGAAAATTTCTGAATTTAAATCTTGAACCATCCGAGCTCTGATGTTAGCTGACTTATATTTAAAGTGAATATCCCAAAACAATGAATCCAAGGACATCAAAGTCAACCCAATCTGAACTCAAATGTACCTAAATCGAAGATCCAAAGTACATTCTGAAAGTTTGGACCAAAAATTTCATGATCACGATTTCAAAATGTGGCATGCTTATAGTTGAATCAAGCGGCTCAATGTAACGAATTCAGCGAGTCCGAGATCGCCAAATTCTGATATCATTAAGGCACTCAAATGCTCGATAAACAGTTCACGATCAATGGAGTCGATATTGGTCTTCCATTCAGAACACTCCCAACCTATTTTCTGGTCATGTCACTCCCCAAAAATTATATATAGACCCTCATTTTTTATTCAGGGGGACCCAAACAACAAAGAGAAGGAAAAAAGAGAAATTAGAGTTATCTTGCTAGCATACTACTCATTGACCACTGTAGGAAAATCGTCGGACTAATGACTGTCGTAGGACCATTAACAAACATCGAACCCCGACTAGATAACTAGCGTTTGTCGGATTTTTGTCTAGCCATCAACCAACACAGGATTTCCGCCTTACAATCAATTGACAACAAACTTCTGCCCAACTCTCCAAACTACAATAATTTCACCATCTTCAAGTGCCAAGATAGGTCAATCTTTATAACATATTCAAACAATAATGAAATCACTTCGACTGGATGTGACTTATAGTTTTTTTTTTCTTTTCCAAAATTTTCAACATAAAAGTTCTAGCATTTTTATTATTTTTGTTTGTAAGCTGGATACTAGTACAATACAAAGATGTGCATTTTTTTTACTTTACCAACGTGAATATTCTTGCTTGCAACAAATATGAATCAATTAAATTTAATAATTTTGAAAGTTTTATTCGAGAAATTTTTAATTGCTTCATTTTGTTCTTGCTTTTTGGCCAATAGATTGATATAATAAATATATAACATCAATTTAAGCATCGTTTTTCTTTCATTTTGTGGTTTTCAAATTCTTCTTATTTTGAGTCTATTTCAGAAAACCAAAAATTGATAAACTTTTGAGGAATAATTTTTTCTATCCATTTCTATGGCCATCGGATAACAAAAAACGACAAAAGGGAAAAGCAATCGTGGGGCACGTGGCAATCTAAAAGTGAACAGAGATGCCACAGGACAAGTAGAGCAGGAGCAGCGCCGCCTCTGCAACTTCCTCACTCTCCACACCTTCGTCTGATCGTTCCCGTAACGCTCTCTGCCTCCAGCTCCCTGCCTCGCGACGAAGATGGAACATAACCATTAGGATCTTCTCCTGCTTGTCCCTCTGCCTCATCCTCATCTCCTCCTCGCTCAATGTCATTACCATCTTTTCCCGTTTGACCCTCTGCCCTTTCTTCGTCTCTTCCGCGTTCGAATTCCGCTTGCTTTCTGCGTTCCCAGTAATGGAGAAAACTTTTCTGGCTTTCCTTTCTTCCATTCTAACACTTATTTTCCTCTTCCTGTAACGAATACCACATGCATTGCAGAGAGACTGCAACAAAACAAACATAAGTAAATGGACAAAATCTTTTCTAGCGAAATCGAAATTCGGCAACGCATTACCAAATATTGCCATTCATTTGCTATTGATCAAGAACTTGAAGGCTTAGTTTCTATTGAAATGGAGAAATAAAATTAAATCTCAACATTTCTTGGATTGAGTTTGAAAGTTCGTAAAACCATTATGAAACCTTCCCTTTTTCTTTTTGTTTCCTTCTACTCAAACTCCCAACATCCACACAGACGAAAAAGAAAAGTAACGAAATTTCTGAAGCTCATATGATGTATAGGAAGGGTCCTAAAAGAACATTATCAAAAAAAGGCAACACTGAGGGAAAATATGGGAATGCTAATGAATCATTTTGAACTAAAATACTTTTAGTAGAAAGAAAATAAGTAAATCTTGAATAGTAAAGCCTGTAGCTAGGTTATGAAACCAAGAGGTAACGCAAAAACAAAAATGAATTACGCATTTGTCAGTTTTGCAGTTCGTTATAGGCAAAGCATAAGAAATTGTATGAAAAAACTATAAAAAATAAATTAATAAGAATAGACAGGAACATAAAAGTAAAATTAATAACAAATAAAAATATTGAATAACAGAGGGAACAGGTTATAGAAACTGAAGTTGAAATGGAGAGGAAGGAAAAAACCATGGGGCCATCAGGTCCATTTCTCCAAAGTGGCGTGTATGAAGTTCGGCAATCCGAGCACACTTTTATGGAGGAGTCCACTACCGTCTTCACCTGCCTTTCTCTGCTCTCTTCCTCCTTGCTCGTCCTACTTGTCACCACCAAGCGGCGTCGGCCATCGGAGCTTGCCGACGAGTTTGAGCTATCATATGCACAGCAGGCGCACTTACCGTACTTCGTGGAACAGATCATGGAGCTTGGGTTTTGCTTCGGCATGGCGAAGGTGATGCCAATGCTAGGTAGAGTAGAGATGCGGCAGAGCAAAGCATAGTGGCCAGGGTTATATCTCGCTCACAGCGGTTTTGCTCAATCGGTGCGGATCGTTGTGTAGCGCTCTTAAGGTACGTTAACTCGCGTGCCTAGAATTTAACGGTAAGGGGATTTGTTATTAAAATTGGGGAATGTTATTGGGGTAAGCATACACGAGTCCCGACAAGTCTAAGCAGTACATTCGTCAGTCATATCCGTGTCCGTAAGGAGATCGCACCATTCTTCTTTTTTTTGGGAAAATGATCGCACCATTCTACTTAGGATATATTTTGGAGAGCTTCGTTTTTTTTAAACATTAATTTATAAACTTTTTCTTAGATATTAATTATAATTTTATTTTCCTATTATTTTTTTTTACTTTCTCATTAATTTCTCTTGTAAAATTATATAAACTAATTTTTACAATCAAAATAACTAATTTATTTTCTCCGCAATAAATGTATAAAAATTTTTATAAAACATTATAATCATCCCAATCTCTATATAGATAGAAATCAATATTATATAGTTTTTAAATTAAATTGATTTAGATGGGGATTTTTAATTAAATTAGCTTTAATTATCTTAGTCAAAAGTAGGGGGGCAACCGAGTCAAGCTGACTCGCGAGCTGGCTTGGACTCAACTCGTTAACAGGCTCCACGAGTCGAGCTTATCGAGCTCTCTAGTCGAGCTCAAACACAATTTCGAGCTCGAAGGCTTATCGAGCTCGAGTTCGAATAGGCCTCAGACTCAACTCGTCGATTCAACGAGCAACTCGCGGGCGGGAAATCCTAATCCACGGAGCTTGCGAGCGGGAAATTGAAAATGACGGAGCTCACGAGCGGGAAATCAAAATTAATCGAGCTCGCATGTAGATCTCGATGACGAATAAGCTCTCGACTATGATGGGGGACGTGAGTTTGAGAAGACGGAGAAGATCTGGATGACGACATTCGTCATTTTCTACTATGAACTCGGGTCCTCGGGACGACATCGCTGGAGTTCGAGAAGATGATGAGAACGAGATGAATGATATCGACGACGGAGTTCGGGAAGATGGACGCGACGATGAATGAGGGACGAAGGATGCGACTATGAGGGAGAGAGTTTGACAGCAGAGCTCGGTACTGAGCTCGACAAGCCGCTCGACATGAAGACTAGTCGACTCTTTTGCACCCTTAGTCAAAAGTAAAATTAAAATAAAAAGATTTACAAAGTTATAAATGAGAAATTTGAATTTATAAGTCTTGGGGTTATGAGTGAAAGCAACTACTAATAGTAAAAAAAGTTTGTGTTGGAATCAAAATGTGCTAGAAATATTAAAAAAAAAAAAGATTTGTTATAAAAGTTGGTTTAGCTATAAAAGCTCTCATAATTGAGAAAGATATAAAGAGGTACGGAAGGAGCCTAAAATATCAATTAAGGATGCAAAAATTTTAACTTTTAATGATTTATATAATAGATTATATACTAAGGAGGGCGAAAGATATATTTAAAATTTAGCTAAACAAATATATAGGTGTTGCGTCCTGGAGTATTCGCGGCGGTACAGAATTATAAAGTTTAGCGTCTTAGCGTTGTACGAAGATCCAGCACACAAGCAGATAAGTGAGAGGGTGTAGCGTTCATAAGAGACACCAGAGTTTTTACGTGGAAACCCCTGAAAGGGGAAAAACCACAGGGTCTGGCCCAGTTTGAATGAATCCACTAGTATTTGCAGTCGATTACAAATGAGGCCCTTCCTTGGAAGAAGGCCTTGGATTGATGTAACAAATGTACATCATATAAAGTGCATTACATGGTGGGAGTTACATATACATGTTTGTTTGGTCGGAAGGGCCGTAGTCGGCAAGAGACCAGGGTCAGAAAAACCGTTGTCTAGTAATGGAGGTCGAAAAAACCATAGTAGGCGACGAAGGTCTGAATGACCGTAGTCGGCAGGAGATAGGAGTCTAAAAGACCGTTGTCTGATGATGGAGATTGGAGTGACTGTAGTAGGCGACGGAGGTCGGGAGGATCGTAGTCGGCAGGAGACCAATGTCTGAAAGATCGTTGTTGGCAGGAGATCGGGGTCTAAAAGACTATTGTCTGATGATGGAGGTCGGAGTGACCGTAGTAGGTGACGGAGGTCGGGAGGATCGTAGTCGGCAGGAGATCAGGGTCTAAAAGACTGTAGCATGAGGGCGATACTTCTATAGAAGTTTGGGTGTTAGGCGGTGGATTAGTGGAGCTCAGGGCGTCAGGCGGTGGTCCGGCGTAGCACAGGGCGTCAGGCCGTGGTCCGGCAGAGGTGAAGGTCTCAAGTGGTGGTCCAGGGAGCAACGACATCAGGATGTGGTCCGGCGGAGGTGAGGGCCCCAAGTGGTGGTCCAGCGGAGCAACGGCGTCAGGCGATGGTCCGGCAGAGGTGAGGGCCTCAGGTAGTGGTCCGGCGGAGCAACGACGTCAGGCGGTGGTCCGACGGATGTGAGGGCCTCAAGTAGTGGTCCGGTGGAGCAACGATGTCAGGCGGTGGTCCGACAGAGGTGAGGGCCTCATGTAGTGGTCCAACGGAGCAATGACGTCAGGCGGTGGTCCGACGGAGGTGAGGGCCTAAAGTGGTGGTCCGGCGGAGCAACAGCGTCAGGCGGTGGTCTGGCGGAGGTGAGGGACTCAGGTGGTGGTTCGGCGGAGCAACGGCGTCATGCGGTGGTCCGGCGGAGGTGAGGGCCCAAGTGGTGGTGCGGCAGAAGTCCGGCGGTGGTGGACCAGTGGTGGTTCATCGGAACTTCGGCGGTGGTCCGACGAAACTCCGGCGGTAGTTGAGGAGGCAAGGAAGTAAGAGCGATCTCCGATCTCTCTCTTTTTTCCTTAGGCTCCGGGATCCCCATTTCAAGAGGAGAGGGAGCTCTATTTATAGATTTCTGGAGTGGCATGGCCCGTAAATAGATGAGAGATCAAGGGTAAATGGGGAGTGGTCAGATGAACGGTCGATGTTGAATTCCTTGATCATGCACCATTCGTCAATCATTTAAAGGTCTTAATGATGTTGGAATTAAGCGATCTTAGGCTCGTTGGATTTGTCTTGTCGAGCCGCTCGATTTGAGTATAAGCTTGCTATGTTTGAAACCCGTTTGGTAATTCAAATTGTGGTTTTAATCTTCCAACAGCGCTTCAGGTCCTTGATTTGGACCCATTTGGGCTCGGATTGAGTCGAATTTGGTCTCGTTGTGTTCGTATTTCTGAGACGCTCAGTTTGACTATAAGTTTACTGAAATCGGAGTTTAGATGGTCTCCGAATTAATTTTTGAAGTTTTCAATTTGATTTTGCATCGAGATTCGTGCCTAATTAAGATGTTTTTTTGACGAGGTATCAGTTGCCACCCTATTTTCGGACGTCAATGCTCCAGAAGTCCAAAAATATATGTGTCGACATTTCATATTGGGCGAACCGAAAAAATTTATGTTCCAAAAATCAAAACCTTACTAAAACATTATCATAGAGGCCTCGTTGAGCCCCGAAAGTGTCAAAATTGAGTCAGGAATGTTGAAAAATGTGTTCGAAGACCCGAAAAAAGTTTAATTTGGATCGTCCGGGCCAAAAATCGAGCCCGAACATGCTTAGGCGGCCGAACCGGACGGTTGGCCGGCCGGCCACCGGCAGCCGCCGGCGACGCCTACACCGCGAGGGCGCACGGTCTGCTTTGAGCAGCCGGTTGAGCCGGCTGCAGTTTTTTTTTTTTTTTTTTGGGGGAAAACCCTATAATGGAAAGTGCAGTTTTTTTTTTTTTTTTGGGAGAAACCGCTAAGGTGGTTTAAAATTAAACCGCCAAAAAAAAAAATTTTTAATGATAGAGAGTTTTTTTTTTAAATAAGGCTGCATGAGGCGGTTCATTTAACCGCCTGCTTATGGGCGGTTTATTTAACCACCCGTAACAATTTTTTTTTTTTTTTTGAAAGGGAGAGAGAGAGAAAGTGGGAGAGAGGGAGAGTGGGAGAGATGGAGAGAGGGAGAGTGGGAGAGAGAGAGGAAGAGATGGAGAGTGGGAGAGTTTTTTATTTTTATTTTTATTTTTCTCTCTTATAACCTCCCCTCTAGCCTATAAATAGACCCCTCATAGGTCCTTAATCCTTGCACCTTCTCCTTCTCATCTC